AAAAAAAAAAAATCAACTGATGGGTTACATTATTTATTATCTAGTGAAGGGGTCACACTATAGACAATATTTATATACAAAAAATAATAATAATATTGTAACATTTTATATTTTATATCTAAAATAAACTTGTGACATTTCATTTATTTTTTTTAAATAAAAATCATCTGATGGGTTACATTATTTAATATCTTGTAAATGGGTCCCACTATAGACAATATTTAATAATAAAATATAAAAAAAATAACATAAAATAATGATCTAAATTAACTTGACTTTGATTTTTTTTACATTTTTTTTCTTTAATCCACTAATTGATTTTGAATCCATTAAAATAAGTTAAATAAAAATCAGCATTTATATCATTATATATATATATATCTTGTAAATGGGTCACATTATAGACAATATTTAATAAAAAAAAAAAATTAATTTATTAATTAATGATCTAAATTAAGTTGACTTAGATTTTTTATTTATTTATTTTTTATGTTTTCAAAATTCACCAATTGATTTCAAATCCATCAACATTTTCAAAATTAAATTAATCCGATGGGTCACTTTATTTATTATCCAGTAAATAAGTCACATTATAGACAATATATATTCAAACCAAAAAAATTATAATAATGATAAAAATAAAAATGAATATCTAAAATGAAACTTGATGTTTTTACTTATCAGATAATTTTGAATCCATCAAAAAACAAATAAAAAATAAAAATTAACTGATGGGTTACATTATTTATTATCTAGTGAAGGGGTCACACTATAGACAATATTTTTTAATAAAATAAGATAAACTTAAAATTAAACTGTGATCAAAATTAATTATTAAAATTAATTAAAATTAAATCCATCAAAAATGTTAAATAAATCAGCTAAAGGGTTACATTATTTAATATCCAGTAAATGGGTCATATTAGATAAATCACACAAATGATCACATTATAGATAATAATTATTGATTTATATTTATAAAAAAAAGATCGATTAAATTTGTGACTTGATTTTAAATCCATCAAATCAGGGAAAAGAGAAAATGTTTTACATTTTGATTTATAATCCAGGTGTATGCAAGTAAATTAGATTATGAACTGAGCTAAACTTGTGATAATATGTATTCAAATTTGACCCAGAAATTATAAAGAGAGGAAAAAAACCAGTGATTTGCTACAATAGTGAAAATTTAGTTAAAAGGGTCATAATATAGATGCAAAAGTGTAGGCCAATACATAATTAATATAAATTATTTTAAGGAATAATAATTAGAGGATTGCTGAATAAAACATATTATGAACTGTATTAAACATAAATTTAATCCATATTTTATTTATTTTTTAATTATATTGAATTATATATATATATATATATATATATATATATATATATATATATATATATATATATATATATATATATATATATATATATATATACATATATATATATATATATATATATATATATATATATATATATATATATATATATATATATATATATATATATATATATATATATATATATATATATATATATATATATATATATATATATATATATATATATATATATATATATATATATATATATATATATATATATATATATATACATACATATATATATACATACATATGTATATGTATGTTCATCCAAAACATTGTCATCATTTACTCATCCTTCACTTGTACCAAATCCGTTAAACACAAAATAAATTTTTTTATAAATGTTGGAAAACAGCAGCCACTTCCACAGTATGTTTTATCTCTACTATGGATATCCATATCCCTTTTCACAAATACTGAACAGACTTTCCCAGACAATTACAGGTAAATTGCTGTAAAGACATCATGTGTGAACTGGCCCTTTTTAAAAACAACTTTTAATTGGAGGCCAATATGCTCAACAGAAGACATTTTCAGTAGATGAACTATCCCTGTGAAGCATATGTGTCAAACTCAATTCCTGGAGGGCCGCAGCTCTG